GGTACCGTTACGTGTCTGCCTAAGTGGGGAGTGCGATAATGCATCGTGTGGGGCAATAAATGGGGTAATAAGTGTGAAAGTGGGTGAAGGGTGTTTAAGTCTTTTGCTATCACTTTTCATGCCAAAAGTGGATGCGTGAATTTAATTTGTGATGTACAAAAAGAACGTAGGAACATTGAGAACTTAATTGGGGCCTGGGGGATGGATGAGGTATATTTTGGATTTTTAATTGGCATCGAGTGTATTTAGTATAATGCATAGTTTGTAAGGCGCCAAGGCGAGGCGACAATGTACCTTCATATTGCCTAGTAGACCTATATATATGTATGTGTGTGTGTGTGTGTATATATATATATATATATATATATATATATATCGTAGGTCACAAGTTTAAGTCAAATCTTTTTAAACATTTTAAATTAGGCATTCAAAATAATTGGGTTGCACTAAAAAAAATAGGGGTGCACTTAAAAATTTGGGCTTTTCAAAATTTTAGTGGGGCCCAAGGCGTCAAGGCGAGAAAGGCGACCTTAAGGTGACGCCTAGGCGAGCGCCTGAACGCCTTAAGGTTTTCTGAGCGAGGCGAACAGACTAGGTGTCCAAAGGACAACACCTTGTTGCCTAGGCGACGCCTTACAAACTATGGTATAATGTGATGATTGGACCCTTAGTGATTTTCTTTCGCCTTTTTTTCCTATTGCAAAAGGTTTGATGAAGCCTTAGATGGTGTGGTACTAGCGTACAAACCGAAGTTTGAAAGTAAACTGGCAAATATTATACCAGGGATTCACCCATATTTTAGTGTGAGATTTCAGGCAAAGCTGTTACTATTTTATCCAAAGATGGATATGCTTTTAGGTATTCCTGATTGTGTGTTTTACACATGAAGTTCCATGTTCTTAACTGCATAAGCAGTAGGGAAATGACACTGAATTTGTTTTGATACTTGTTGCCTTTGTATTGACTGATGTTCATGTTGTAATGGCTAATGTGGTTACCAGAAGGAGAGGTAGTGAAAGTCTCCCAACTATCTATTCACATCATTGTTCTTGGATTTTCATCTGCCATTATCTCAGATGATGACATTCATGGGAAATACAAATATAAGATTGTAAGCAGTAAGCACCATGAAGATGTGTTTCATTGGACCTAATTGTATCAAGAGAATGACTATTTCTTAATTTAAACACTTATACTCCGTAATAATGACAGAAGCATGGAGAGGAAGTGTTTGTCAGCAATTCTCACAGGAGACATAAAATTAAGGTGGGAACAATTGTGAGTTTCTCTGTCAAGAGTTAAAATGCTTGTTGTGCTAGTTTTGGGGTTTCACCTGATGCACACTCTAGTTCTTGCATTGTCATCACCTCTTTTTTAAATTTTGGGAAACTGATTCATAATCACATATAATGGGTATATTGGGAATGAACCAAATGTATAAGCAACAACAACCTAAGATAATCCCACAAAAGCAAGGTCTAGGGAGAGTGTGTGTACACAGACCTTACCCCTACTATAAGTAGAGAGATTGTTTCCAAGAGACCCCCAACTCAAGCAGCATAGAAAGCACATAAACACAAGAAAAAGGATAAAAGAGCAAACTAAGGAGAGTGAAAGCGCAAAAAGGCAAAAGGAACACAAACATGGATCCATGGATGACTCGGATTGCCACCTTTTGGGTGCCACGGTGAATAACCTTGACCAAGCCATTTCGAGTCGGTATGGTGTCCTTAGGAGTATGCCATGGAGGATGGTGATAGAGAGGGCCTCAATGATGGTATCGGGAGAAGAAGAAAAAACTAGATAAAGAAGAAGGGCCAAGGATTTGCAGATGGTCTAAAGTTGAACAAGAATACACCGTTCCGACCCGTCTTTTCGGTGTGATCTGGAATTATGTGGATTGCAAAGGTATTGTCCGATGCCCTACTTGTTTTCTAAAAGGTATTCAATGTACATGCCCGGAAGTATTGTGAGCACCATCAGAAAATGACCACAACATGGATGATTGTCATTACGGAATTGAGAGGTTGATCTAGAATGGGCACCTCCAAAACCTTGTGCACGAGGAGGACACACAATAAGCTTCCGGAGGTTGAAAACCATGACAGGGATGCGATTGTAATCAAGTTGAACATTAATGACATTGTGATTCACCGTTCCTTTAACACGGGAAGTTTGGTGCATGACATGTACATGGAGACCTTTACATTTTTGGGTGTGAAGCAGACAGACCTTAGGAATATGCATACTTCGTTGAAGGGCTTTACCGGGGATTCCATTAAGGTTGAGGGGGGTAATCACCCTGCTAGTAGGGATTGGAGATATTCCTTCAAGATAGTCAAGCTTGATAGGGAATTTTTATGGTCTGGGTCATTTGTGGAACAAACTTGATTTTTAGTCAATTGGAATTAGAGGATCTATAGGGTATCATTTCTCCAATTCACCTTTGCATCAAGTTTCCAACTCTTACCGTAATGGGGAAGCTAGAAGTTGTTAAGTTCTTGGTACTTGAAGTTTGAAGATGTATTAGGAGACCATCAAGTACAACACTCAGATCAATGAGGTCACCAGCCAGTACCTAAAGGTAGAAGAGAATAGATCCTATGTTGAGGTGGTCAGGGAGATCAAAGAAATCAAGGTAGATCTAGAGAGCCAGGAACAACAACATTACCCCAGTGCCTCAAAGGCTCCTGCCCATTGCGAGTCGGGGGGGGGTCGGATGTACACAACTGACCCGAGAGCCAATGAAGATTAAAATTGGCAAAGGTCTAGCTATGGAGATAAGAGACATTCTTATCCAAGTGCTTCAGAAATTTAAGTCTATTTTTGCTTGGTTCCACGCCAGTGAAGCCAAAAATATCTAAATGTTTTGGTTCTAAGCCTCTAAATTGGAAGATGTGTGTCTACTACACTGGTCTTATTCAAGTTTGCCCTGTGGATCTGTTTCCATTGCGGAATAATGATCAAATTGTGGACAAAACTGCAAGGTGCAAGCTTATGAGCTGCATGTATGCATTTTGCAGCTATTATCGCCTAGATGCACTTGATAGACACCATAGTTGTGAATGGCGAGGGCTTTTTACGCTTATGGCGCTAAAGGCTTTGTGGCGACCATATTCCGCCAGTCTTCACAGTGGCGTGGTGATTTACGTGAGGCGCGCCATTGGCGGTCGCCATGGCCGCCTGGGTGTTTGGCGAATGGTGTGCGCCATCCACGCCTTGCGTGTGGTCAACTTTAAAAAGATAACTAACCTTGACCTGATTAATGATTTTGATTGCGCATCACTTTGATCGGAACGTTGCATACTCACGATCGATAAACTTCTCCAGAGTCCTTTTGCAGACTCTTCATCTTCAGCGCAAGTGGTTCCAGACATCATCGCACTTCAGATCTCGGGCTCTCAGCGGAATTTTTTTTCCTCGGGCTACGCAACTGCGCGACGCACCAGGTCACACCCCTCTTAAGCGCAAGTCCCCAATTTTATTCTTATATTTTTTAATTTATTTATTTTATTATGTTTTTTTACCCATATAATTTCATATGTCTGAAAAGAAGAAGACAAAAGCTTAATGACTAATAGCTTGGAAAAATGGCTTGTTTTTTGTTTTACCAACAACTCATGTTTCACTTTGATAGTTATGTATGTTTAAGACTAAAGGATAATTATATATATATATATATGCACACACACACACAGATTTTGGTTCTGGTGAGAATGCAATCTTAGGAGAGAAATGAGAATGAATCTGGTGCTTTAGATTGTGAGATCTAAGGGTCAAGATTTCATCAAAATTAGATGCACCAAAATGGTTCGAAAATGCATCACGTCGAAATGCACCATAAACCTTCGAAAATGCACTATCTCAAAATCTGAGCGCAGGATGCAATCTGAGCCGCACGATGCATCTGACGGCTAGATTTTATTTTCATTTCTCTCCACAAGGTGCATTCTCACGGGAACCGGCCCCTATATATACATACATACATACATACATATATACATACTATANTTGTTTTTTGTTTTACCAACAACTCATGTTTCACTTTGATAGTTATGTATGTTTAAGACTAAAGGATAATTATATATATATATATATGCACACACACACACAGATTTTGGTTCTGGTGAGAATGCAATCTTAGGAGAGAAATGAGAATGAATCTGGTGCTTTAGATTGTGAGATCTAAGGGTCAAGATTTCATCAAAATTAGATGCACCAAAATGGTTCGAAAATGCATCACGTCGAAATGCACCATAAACCTTCGAAAATGCACTATCTCAAAATCTGAGCGCAGGATGCAATCTGAGCCGCACGATGCATCTGACGGCTAGATTTTATTTTCATTTCTCTCCACAAGGTGCATTCTCACGGGAACCGGCCCCTATATATACATACATACATACATACATATATACATACTATATTTATTTATTTATATAATGTTCGCCATTTGACCGCCCGCCGCTCGCCACGCTTCTCGCCATAAAAAATAACCTCTCGCCCGCCACTCGCCATTCACAACTATGATAGACGCTAAGAAGAGTAGTTTCGTCATCCGAAGGGGTTGTACGACTACCTAATAATGATGTTTGGCTTGAGGAACCGAGCCGCAAACTCGGATGTTCACCAAGGTTTCTAGAATGGTCCTTGGTTGCACGATAGAGATATATGTGAAAGATATGAAAGTGAAGATCTGGAGGGCAGGGGATCACACAACAGACCTTGAGGAGGCTTTCAACTTGATGGGTAAAGTAAGTCTTTGCCTCGACCCCCCAAAAAAACATGTTTGTAGACGTTGCATAAAGGCGAATCTGGAGAAGATAAATGCTATAGCGGAGATGGAGCCATCAAGAAATCTAAAGGAAGTGCAGCGCCTCACGCGATGACTTGCTAAGAAGCTTTGGAGAGACTGAAGAGGTATTTAATGAGCCCTGGCACCAAAGCCTGAATCGGGGAGATGTTGATCCTCTACCTTATTGTGCTACCAAGCCCAATCAGTTGGTGTTGATGTAAGTGGCTGAAGCGTAGCTCCCGGTTGACTATGGCAGTGTTCCATTCAACTTATTTTTCATGCTTATTACTTATTCTTATTATAATCAGCCAGACCAGATCATAAACATCTTTAATTATAACTGCAATAAGATCAGACCAGATCAGATTAGATCTTCAAAAAATCAGATCAGATCAGGCGAACGGAACACAACCTATGTCAGCGAGATGTAGTGGGATGCATAGCTTTGCTACACTCTGGCAGAGAAGGCAATGTTGACAGTATATTGGTTGGTAAATAGGACCACATCATCCATTATACAAAGACATTCTAATTGCTTTTGATCTCAAGTATCTATGACCTATTTTCTTAATCATAATCTTCATATACTAACATCGCATTTCCATGCTAGATGGATAAGTGGATTAATGTTTATCAATATCTTTGCATTTACTTGGCATGGTAGCACACAAAAGCTTACCCCCTATGTCCCAAAATGAAAAAAAAGTATGTTAGAAGTGTTTATAGAGGCTTACATGTCCATAGGATTTTTAAAAGACCTAGCTACACCAGAAGTACACGTCACCCTAGGGGGTATTGGGGTATTGGGCTTGGCCCAATATGTTATTCTTTCATAGAGCAACAACATTTTGTTGCGGTGGTGTATTGGTGGATGAAATCTAGTGAATATTCTTGAGCATTATGACTTTATAAAATGGTTAAATAACATTAATGTGAGGTTTAAGTCTCAAAAAGTTATTAAACATTTCCGAGAGACTCTTAATAATATATAACCATGTAATGCGAAAATACTCTTCATCATATATAACCATTTGAGCACAAGCACGATTATTGATTCTAGGACTTCAATGAACACAATACTGTTTGGCATATTGGCAAGGCTCAATATTTACAGATGCCACATTATGACAATGAGGATAAAATTTCTTTGATAGAGGAAGAAATGGATGCCCTAAACAGGATTGAACTTGGTAGTTCATATCCTTACACGAGTAATTGTTTTTGGGGTTGAGCTTGTCAGTATATATAGGTGTTCTCAATCGTCTACCTTACCACTTGAAACACAATTAGTTTGCAGTTTTTTGCTGGTTTGGTTTTCATGCCCTAGTTTGTAGTATGTACTTGGGATCTAGTTGTTTGAGTTGGCATGTGTGGTTCTTCTCTCTTTACTCGTACTCCGTTAGTGTTATTGTTGTTTGTTTGCCCGTACTTTGTATTTGAGCCGAGGTCTCTAGGAATTAGGAAACAACCTCTCTACTTCCAAGTAAGGGTAAGTTTTGTGTACACTCAACAATTGAGGTATAGGAAAACCTTCTGTTACGAGGTGATGTAGGGATAGGACAAGCTCTTCCTAGACAGAACCTATGTAATAAGAGTTTCGTTCATGATAGAAAACCTAGAGAGATCGATTGTGTCGAAGTTCTATGCAGTTAAGCCTGTAATTGTATGTATTTTTGACGTAGGTAAACCCCTATTTCATAATGGTCACACTGAGTAACTAAATAGAGTTCTTACTTATTACGATAACTGGATTCATTACTAATAATATTAGAAAACTAATACTCCTTATATTATTAAGCACTTGTACTAATAGTTATTATGATGAAAAAACAGGGGTTGCCTAGACATGCCCATATCATCTTCCAAGTATGCCTCTAGCCATAGAAGATGGTCAATGTTAAATTCTGGGAATTCTGGCCAATGGCTGGTCAACATTCAAAGCGTAAGGCACTGGTGCAACATACTTCTTGGAAGCATGTACACCCATATAAGAACAGAATCTTGTAACCTCATAAACCATGCCGCAGAGCCTGTATCAAATCTCAAACCATTTAATGACTGTTGTAGATCACACCCATACACGTCCAGGATAATTAGCATTGCCATGACCTGTGGGGCTCTTTGAGAAGAAATGCTAATCTGTTTTGGTTCCAAAGACTTGCAGAGAGGTATTTGATGCACAATAGATCCGTGTGAACTACTTTCATCCATTCTTAAATTAACTGTCCATTATGACTTTTAACACATTAAGAATCAAATGAATGTGGACAAGGTGTACGCCCACATTCATTCAATTTTTAGAGAATGTAAAAAGTCGTAATTAACTGGCTTGCCAAATCGTATTTATATTCTCTTTTTTTACCCGCTCTCGATGGTTTATGATGACTGGTATGGATAATACTTCAAGGTGGCAAAATATTTTTGTAGTTTTGATGAAGAGACACTACACACATGTGGATCATTAATTCCTTGTGCAACCGGAAGTGTTGCTTGGTTGGAAGCAAATAGAAAAGGGTGGATAGAGAGGTAAATGCCATTAATATTTTTTTATATTTGATTCCATTCTTAACTTTGATTTTAAATAAATCGTGTCTTGTGTGTTTAATATTATCACAGTGCTGCTAAAATAAGAGGTGAGAGGCCAGTGGAACAATTGGAGACTGACAATGGAAGGATGGGTGATGAAGATATGGATGCATATAATAACAATAACAATCAATCTAAGAAAGCAAGTTGCAGTGAGTTGACTTTTTTCTTTTCTTTTCTTCCTCACAAGTTGGAGTGGTCTTACCATTTTCTGTCTATAGAAAGCAGGAAAGCAATTATGTTGCTATCCTGATTTTTGTTCACAGCAACTGATCATTGAGACAATGGCCCATTTGGACTTGGTGTAGGTTTATGTTATGTTGTTTATGAGAAGCCTATGGCCATTCGAAAAATTATTAGGATCCGCTTGGTACACAGAATGGACAGAATTGGAATCGAATTGGGAATTGAAATTATATCGTATTTGATTGGATGAAATTGCATTTTCCAATTCCAATTCATTTTTTGCACTACCAATTCTAAATCTACATGTTTTTTGTGCTACCAAATAGCAAAATTGGTATTGTGTTCTCCAATTCCAATTCCATAGTTTGAATTTCATGTACCAAACGGAGTTTTATAGAACTTCAAAATTGGCCCTCCCAAAACTGCGGATGAAACAGAGGAAGTACATATTTAATACCTTTGCTTGCTTGAACAAAAAAGTATTGTTCAAAAAAAGAATAAATTGGGAAATGATTAGCACACAAAATCACAAAATCTTGTCAATTATGGAAGACCCATTTTTATATACAAATACCAAACACTATCAAAAGTTTAGAACCACTAATTATCAATTAGTGCATGAATCATGTTGAGTGGAAGAGTTAATTGTGCCAGGTATTAATAAAAACAATTGCTGTGATGAATAATCATTGAATTAATTAAAGAGTTGCAGACTTGCAGGAATTGGATGCCCAAACCCCAAGTGGGTCTATGGATAACAATTAAAGTACTTTCAGCAACCACTAAAAGCAATGCAATATCAATATGGGTGCCATATTTTATTTTTTTTTTATTTTTTGGGTGCCATTTAAATGAGATATATCTATCTATCTATCCTATTCCTATGGAGATAAACAATAATAGTGCAGGGTGGAGTAAGAAGTCACAACACATGCATGCACGAAAGTGTTTAGTTCTCTGTTGCCAACTTCTTCGAGAATTAATTGAATGAGCAATTTTTATGTTCTCGAAGCAAATGGATAATTGGATTGGCATGCTATTTTATCAAGTTATCTTCATCCATTATTACTCTTGTGATACCATTGAATTGAAGTTGAATAAAATATAAATACGATTCGCAGAGAATTTTATAATCAGTAAACTTTTTATCGGAGGGATTCCTATATGACATTAAACTCCAATATCATACTATGATCCGGGTTTTAATTGGGACCCCTACGAAGGTTCGCTCGAAAAATTGATGATTCCTATATCATCTAACTCCTCTAGTAAACCTCCGTCCGGCCCGATTCGAATCGACTCCTCACCCTTTTCAATAAACTCCAAAGTTAACTAAAATTGAAGGGGGAGGGGTCAGTTCGGGTTGGGACTATGAATCGTCAATATTTCGAGCGGGCCTTCGTAGAGGCCACAATTGAAGTCTGGATCATAGTACGTATGACATTAGAACCCAGTGTTTCAATTATATTTCCCACTTTTTATCAATGAAAGCATGCATATAGACATAAGATATTGAGAGAACAGAATAAGTAGGAGGATTAACTTGGAAGAAAGGAAGTATTTGTGAATGAAGCAAATTACTCCGTATTAAGTTAGGTCTTGTTCTTTATGTGTCTTTTTTGCGATTGTCTTTCTAATTAAAACGCAAACAAAACTATGAAATATGAGAAGGTATAAGAGGTACTCTCATGTCTAGATCATATTCTCTGTATCCTTGATAAAAATTAGGATGAGGTAAGGATAACTAGATTGAGTAAAAAGACACTTGAGTTAAACCACATTAAAAGATTGGATCGAATCGATTAGTCAGTTCAACTCAAGAGCTTACATACTAATTTATTTTCTCTTCAAGTTTCGATGTAGGATACTCTTTAATAATCCTTTCTATAAAAAAGTTTCACCTTTGAATTGACACGCACGAAGATGTGAGACCTTTTTATGAGATGGAGGAATACTCGTCATCCATGTAAGGATTACTCTTCAATCTTCATCCATGTCATTCTTCACAAAAAGTTTCATATAGCTTCATATTTCACATATTTTATGGTCTACCTCAGTTATATCGCTATATATTCACAGTTCACTCTCATGATCTAATAGTTTGAAATCAATCAAACTTAGTTAACGTTAAAGGCACCTAACTCTGTTTAATTAGTCTCATTGCTGAAGAACCGAACAAGCTTTGATGAACTAATACGAACAAATCGGTGGTAGATATAACTCGTATTTTATGTCACGAAAGTATGGAATGCCAAAATGTACGGTACAATTTGCCAACATTTATCGTATCGGCTAGGTCCTCGACCGTGACATTGTGCATTTGTATATCACAGAAACATATGGATAACTATTGTCTTGCATTCGCCACTACTCCACTGGCATGAAATTAGTATGGATCATTGAATTGCAAGCATGGAAACTGAGCTTAATTAATTATATTAATCGGCATTATAACGAAATGTACGTAGTAAGACAACATATACTACAGCCGTCGGTCTTGATAAAACATCATTAATTAATAACAGTACAGCTAAAAAACGATAAACTTTATTTTTAGAGTGTGATGGGTGAATGAATGAATAATACAGTAGTGTAATAATAATAATTAACAGTAATACAAAATTACATGCAAATAGTACAAATTTATGTCCTTAATTAGCTTAAATAATCACATCGTGAAACAGCTGACAATTGTTGTATTTTTATGTTAGGGACAAATGGACACATGGATGTCGTCACAGCTTAGTTAGTACGTAGTACTAGTCGAGTGTGAGTGTACTGTGTATTTAACAATATAATATCCCCACTTTAATGATTCCTTTTCCATAATTACGGAATATTTTTCTATATTTTAAAAATCATTAATTATATTCATTGTTTAATCATCCCTCCATGCAGCTAGCTAGATAGCTTTCAAATCCAACCACTGGATAAGAATAATTAAATACGAGTGATATCCTAATAAATTAAAATAAATGTATGTAATATCCTGATTAATAAGATTACATTCGAATAATGCACCCCAAATATTTATAATCTTAAATTATCTCCCCACATTTTTTTCTGAGTTAACTTTGCTACAAATTAATCCCTCCGATAATGTGAGATTTAAGCCCCGTTCTGTTCAACTTATTTTTTTTTTTTTGCTTTTTTCTTATTTTTATTAAAATCAGATCAGATCTAATCAAATCAGATCAGATCCAATTAGATTAGATCAGATCAGATCAAATCTGATCAGACCTTAGGTTCATGATAGACCTTAGGTTTGTTATATAATTTGTCTAATAGGGATGCCTCTACTATTAAGGACCCAATTCCTCTAAAAAAATCTGAAGTAGACGACGGAATAAAATGGTTACTTGTAACTTTGTTCTTTTTACGGCAACAAGTCCTATAAGATGTAGACGTTTAAATGTTGACGTTTTTTTAGTCCAACAAGTCCCCAAAAGAATCATAATATCATCTTATATTTTGTCCAATTAAATTAAATGTTACGTTAAATACCGGTCGATTATTTCTTTTAATAGATGAATTTATTTTTAAGCGACCGAAATTGGTGCTTTCCAATTGAGTATATATAATAGTCTCTTTTTTGAATCACTTGCAAGTGCATGATTGATGCCCAACTATTAGATGACATTGAAAATGATATCTTCATTGTAGTTAGGTTTAAATTTGTGAAGATGTGAAAGTAATTATTTGACAAAAAATTATCCTTTAAATAAATAAATATTTATTTAATTATTTCAAATGAACATAAAATGAGAGAGATACACTTTATTTGTATTTTGTGTGCTCAATTTGGGTTTTTCTTTGACAAATATTTTAAATTTAGCTCAGTCTTTTCGAGGATAAATTTAGCTCACTTGATTTCAAATTAAAAAATATAAATAAGTTGAATTTAAAATCATAAAATTGAGTGGGAGAGAAAAAGGTACGGAGTAAATAAGTTCCTGTATACAAAGAGGTACGTACGTACGTACTTACTAACATGTCCCTCCCAAAATTTATGGAACAAATTAACTAGTCTCATTCTCATACTCCCTAAATCCATATTTAAGTTCTTAAAAAACAGCCATGTGAAATTAATTAGTAATTTGCCTCATTTTATGTTTGCATGTTCTTGTTTGAGATTGTTAGAGTGCATCCCACATCGGAAGTCCAAGAGTAAAAAAAGATCGGTATATAAGCTCTTGAGTTGAACTAACTAATCGATTGGATTCAATCTTTTAATATGGTTCAACTGAAGTGTCTTATTATCCAATCCAGTTGTCCATACCCATTCGAAATTCTATCAGAGATGCTTGATAATAAGTTGGGGTGAAATAAAAAAAATTAAAATTATATAGTTAAAACAAAAATGTCATATTGTTTCAAACTCGTACTAAATAAGTTATGAAAATAGATGAAGTGATTCAAATTTGACTATGTGAATGTTAAATTTATGAAGTATGTACCTACAATTTAATGTCACAAGAAGGGAGTATACTATATACTTTAATTTTTATCAAGAAACCAACTCAACACAACCACAAATCCAAGCTTGTATTTAATTTGCTGGTCCAAGAAAAGTTATACACTTAAACACACTCCTTCACATGCAGGCGAGCTTTTTGTTTTTTTTTCGGGCTTTGTACGTGAATATACATCAATTTTGTTAACATGGGTTGTACTTCTAGAACCAGAAAATATTTTAATGGTCCAAGATCCTTCAATCTAAATCTCATTGTGCATACTTTGAATAATGAAGCTCTAAATAAGAGAGGCAGAGGATCCAGTAACAACAATGTTATCAACATAGAATAAATAATAAGAATACCATGAGTAGAGTACAATGTCAAAGGAATTGAATCATCCTAACTCAACCACAAGCTCAAACCTTTTGATTGTATATATGCACAAAATAGATTTTTAATTTCTAACACACTCTTGGCCTTCACATGAAAACAATGTTTATTTTTTAATTTGCTTGAACCTTACATGTCAAAAATAATTTTTTAAGATTGGATGACAATAAAATTTGAACTCATGATCGACTTCCTAGTCATCAAAACTTAGATACTATGTCAAAAGAACTAATTCAACCACAAGTTCCAGCTTTATAGTGGGAGGTCTAGAATAGATTCGTATATATACACTACGCTTCCATGTTTTAATTTGGAGTATATGTCAAAATGATTTTTTTAATTCAAA